AGGGGGTTACGTACAATATTTTTCATTATCCATTTCACTCATCTTCTAACAGTAACGTTCTTTTACAAACAAAAGCTAAGGTTATGAAAATACTTTAAAGCATATAAATAACATTGTTGCCTCCATAGAGGTATATTTTATTAGGTTGAGCCCTCAATGTATGGGTTTCATAACTTCACCGAGTGAGTTTTTGAAACTTTACTTCACCGAGTGAGTAGTCAAGGCGAGGAGTCCGGAGTGTGGGAACAGTTTGTGGCAGTTATATTAATGTATCTGCAATCCTAAAATGCTATGGGAAGGGAGGTAAACAGGTCCAAGACGTAGGAAGTGGTGAAGGAAGTAGTAAAGGCGAACAGTTCGGATCGGAGTACGGGAAAGCTTTGGAGTAGTTAGATTAACGTATCTAAAATACTTAAATGCTATGGGAAGGAAGGGAAACAGGTCCACGACGTAGGAAGTGGTGGGGAGGAAGTAGTAAAGGCGAACAGTCCGGAGTGTGGGAACTGTCTGTGGCAGTTATATTAATGTATCTACAATCCGAATATGCTATGGGATGGGAGGGAAACTGGTCCAAGATGTAGGAAGTGGTGAAGGAAGTAGTAATGGCTAGCAGTGGGGAGCGGGGGAACGCTTTGGGACAGTTGGATTAACGTATCTAAAATACTAAAATGCTATGGGAAGGAAGGAAAAAAGGTCCAGGATGTAGGAAGTGGTGAATGAAGTAGTAAATCCCAGCAGTGTGGTGTGTGGGAACCGTCTGTGGCGGTTAGATTGATGAATCTGCAATCTTAAAATGCTCTAGGAAGGGACGAAAACAGGTCCACGACGTAGGAAGTGGTGAAGGAAGTAGTAAAGGCGAGCAGTGCGGAGTGTGGGAACATTCGTATTTTGTATTATATCTATAAACAAATTTTAATTTATTGCTTTACTAGCAACAGAGCCCGTTGTGGCTAAATACAACGGTCTCTAGTAAAATAATGGTTATGAAATGTATACACCACTTTACTCACTAATATTAATGGTACAGATTAAGCACATAACTTTAGAATCACACACTTAACATAAGGAGCACACTTTAAACACAAATGCAAATTGTTAGCAACAACATTTAATCAAAGAAAATCAATTAAATAACAATATACCAATAAGCTTTCCAATTAATTATTAACACATGTTTCGTATTATTAATTATGCATAATGGTAAACCAATTATTACCATCTATAAAATGTATTGGTTTTTCTTTTCCGAGTCGGGTTAGCTCTTCTACCTGACTGATTTTCATAATTTTGGCCTTAAACTAAAGGTATGGACGCACCACAGATTTGCCATCAAGCATCGGCATTCATTTTAACGTATATTTCGAGTTATGCACAAACTGCCTCCCTGTACATTTCTTATGGGAGTTAAATTTGGTTTTTCGAGTTCGTTTGGCTCTTCTACCTGACCGATTTTCATAATTTTGTTCTTAAAATAAAGCTGTGCAAGCACATATTTGTCATCAAGTATCATCATTAATTATCTAATGTAGGGATTACTCGACAAAAAATATAAATTTATATTTTTTTTACTTCAATTAAAGATGTATTTCAGCAGTTCTAATTATATTACCCTAGTGAAATACCAGCTTTCATTTGAGCTATTGATTATTAAGATTGGACTACCTAAAGCACACTGCTGAATCATGAACCAACAATAATTAACCGTTTTAGTACTTATCTGCAATCAATGATACGTAACTCTATTTTTATGAAATGAATGAAATGAAATATTACTTTATTATCACAAAAACATTTCACAGATCCAGCGTTAGCTGGTGAAACAGGTGATATTGTCAGAGATCTTAAACACTAAGTTACATAACAAAACTAAAATCCACTTAGCTTAAACTAAAATATATTTACTTATCATTTAAATATTCGGAAATATTATAATAATTTTTCTGTAAAAGGTATCGTTTGAAATCATTTTTAAATACTGTTAATTTCTTTGAAATTAGTGGGTAGACTGTTGTAAAGCCTTAATCCCATATAATAAGGGGATCTTTCATATAAACAAAGGCGATGTCTTGGATATTGAAAATTTTTTGAGCGTGTAAGATATGGATGACTGATTTGTTTATCATTGTACATTTGATAATTAATTTTAAAATTCACCATCATTTTAAATATATAAAGTGAAGGCAAAGTTAATATCTCATATTTAGCAAATAAAGCTCTGCATGAGGTTCTTTTAGGCATAAATGATAAAATCCTTATAAATTTCTTCTGAATTTTGAAAACTGCTTTAGAATAAGAAGTTGCTCCCCATAATTCAATCCCGTATTGCAAGACAGAAAAGAACATTGCATAGTACACTGTGAGTTTAGTTTTTAAATCTATTACATTTCTCAAAACATACATTTGAAAGCAAGCCGTTACGTACCAACTACCATTTTTATGTGTGTTTTCCATGTTAAATTCTTATCGATATCTAAACCCAAAAATTTTGCATTTTCAGTAAAGGATATAATATTATTATCATAAGATAATTCAACAGTGGAGTTTTGCGTATTCTGAATTAGTGAATTGTTTGAAATAACATCACCTGTGTTTTAGAATTATTAAGTTTTAGCCCGTTGGCTGTAAACCAATTAGATAAATTAAGAATAGAATGACTGATTTCTTGTTTAAGATTTTGCAAATTATTTGATTTAACTATTGCTGTAGTTGTAGTGTCATCAGCATATAAGATAAGGTTAGACGATACATTTCGAGGTAAGTCATTAATAAATATTAAAAATAGCAAGGGGCCTAGTATTGACCCTTGCGGAACCCCACATTTAGTGTTAAGCCACTGTGAAATACATTTTTACCATTTTTTACGATTATTGTTCTTTGATGTCTGTTAGTCAAATATGAATGCATCCAAGACAGAGCCATATCAGAAAATTCATAATATTTAAGTTTACTCATTAATATATTGTAATTTACACAATCAAATGCCTTGGATAGTTTTATTTAAGTTATTCTATATGTCTTGGTCTTAAAATACTTCTAGAAATAAAGGTTTTCATTTGAGATGTTGATAGTTTCAATCAATTAAGTTCAAGATACCATATCGCTCAATCAGAAAACATAAATTTGATTATATCTTGGATATGGAGTTTAGTTTTAGATATATTTATTTAACTCTAACGACGTTATCAAAAGCAGGTTCTTTTCCAAAAAAATACCAGCTTCCATTCGAATGACTGATTATTAAGATCGGACGTACCCAACGCACACTGCTAAATCACGAACAACCAAAATTGATAAAAAAATTGAGTTATTTATCATTGATTTATAGTCAACGATATTGCTTGCAACCTCAACAGTATCTGTCGACTTTGACGGGTTTCACCTAGTAAATCTTAAAAAAATAAAGCTTTCATAATTATTTGCAAATCTACACGAATTAGGCTTTCATAATAACCTATTAGTTATTAAAATCGGTTCAGTAGGACTGTAGACTTAATTGTACAATGTTTAACAAAATCTTTAATTCAGCATTTTCTCACCGCTATAATAGGGAGGTCCTTAACGTTTTTGCAAATAAATTTGAAATGGTGAGGAAATCGACCAAAGTGGAAGGTGATATTCTGATAGAGAATCAAATTTCCTACAAATTAATATTATGCATTTCTTGAAAATACTAAATAAAGGCAGCCTAAAGTTGGTTACAAATAATAAACTTGGAAATATAAACTTAGGGGAAAAAGGGTGTTTTAAATGTATTTATGTTTATTTTTCTTTTTCACCTCAAATATGTAATAAAATCAAACTTCCATAACTATTTGCAAATCTACACAAGTTAGGCTTTCCAACGACCCATTAACTAAGAAAATCGGTCCGGTAGAAGTCTAGATTTAGTTGTATAACGTTTTACGAAAATATATCTAATTCAGTATTTTCTCACCACTATAAATTTGGAGGTCACCTAGCTTATTGCCAATAACTTTTAAACAGAGGGGAAATCGACCAAAATTGGATGTGATATTCTAAAAGCGAATAAATATTACTACAAATAACTACTACCGTATGCATTTCTTAAAAATACTAAATAAAGGCAGACAAAAGCTGGCTACAAAGAGAAACTTGAAAACAGAAGATTGAAAAAAACAGTTTTCAATGTATTTTTGTTATTTTGATTTTTTTACCACAAATATTTAATAAAATCAAACTTTCATAATTATTTGCAAATATACACAAATTAGGTTTTCCAATGACCCATTAATTAACAAAATCGGTCTAGTAGAAGTCTAGATTTAGTTGTACAAAGTTTAACGAAATTATCCCTAACTCAGTATTTTATCATTACTATAATTTCGGAGGTTGCTTAGCTTTTTACAAATAACTTTTAAATGGTGAGGAAATCGACCAAGTGGATGGTGATATTCTGAAAAAGAATACAATTTTCTACAAATCGATACACTTCTTGGAAATACTCAAAAAAGACAGCCAAAAGTCGCACACAAATAAAAAGTGTGAAAACACAGTTTTCAATGTATTTCTTACGGAAAACACGTTTTTTTATTTTTCACCATAAATCATGACAAAAACAAACTTTCATAATTATTTGCAAATCTACACGACTTAAGCTTTCCAACGACACATTAATTAATAAAATCGGTCCAGTAGAATTCTAGATTTAGTTGTACAAAGATTTTTAAAACTGAATTATATATAGAATAGATTAAAAACCATGAAACATGACTGCCTCAACTGCTTTCACTGCTATGAAAGCAATCCTAGTTTTTATTGAGATGTTCATTTATAAAGCAAAAGTAAAAAATAATGTACTCAATTTGGCTTATTTATAGACAATGACTATAGTACCCTGGTGCAATTTTGTAACATCTAGAATACATTTATTTTCACAAAAAGATGGTGAGGGTCCCTTAAGGTGTTGGTGATACAGTATTAAGTGACAGAGCTAGTCAGTAGTGAGTATTTTTGATACATTTATAGCCAGTGACTCTTACTTAGCGCCGTCAGCAAAGTACATGACACCCAATCCTGAACACAGCCCATTGTGGAATGTGCCAATATAGCGAGTGCCGTCTGGAAGACTCAGATGACCCAAGCCATGTTTCTGTCCTCTCTCATTCCAGTCACCCATGTACCGTGTTCCGTCCTCGTAGCGGTAAGCCCCTGTCTTCACCACTCCAGGGTACACTGTACATACATACATAATGTGTTGACATGTTAACTGTTACTCATAGACAAACTGCTGAGAAAACCTTGTCATAGAGAGCTGTTGTAGTTTACTTACTGATCACTGATAATTTTCATTGGTGTAATAGCTATTTACCTAACCCACCATCTTAAACTTCCCTATCCCAAGCGTGATGTATACAACTTCTTTACTTCTCCAGTGATGTAAAGTTGAAAAAAACTCACTCGGTGAGGTAATGAAACCCATTTAAATAACATTGAGTGCTTAACTTAAAGATATACCTCTATGGAGCCAACGACGTTCAACGCTAGAAATCAGCTATGCACTTAAATTTTACTGTAATGTTTTGACGAATTTTCCTAACCTAGCTTTTGTTTGTAAATGAACGTTACTGTTAGAAGATGAGTGAAATGGATAATGAAAAATATTGTTGGTAACCTCCTGTATATTGTCGGGTCAGGTAAAATCTTTAGTTAGGTACACGTTACGCAAGAGCGTGTTTACATCACTTAGGTAAATTATGCAACTCGCTTCCGCTCGTTGTACAACATTCGCCTGCGTGATGTAAAGACGCTCTTACTACACTTGTAAGGTAAATAGCTATTTTCTACACTTATTTGTAAATTTACTAACATTTATATTTGAGACTAGTGGCTTTTAGGGACAGAGGTCCCTAAAAAGCTCAAATGTAAAACAAACTATTGTACGGTAATATATAAACTCAGAATCGAATCAAATAACTGTGTCAGGATAGATATCCCAGTACCTCAATGGTCACTCTTAGAAAAGAACCTGGGAATAAGATTAAATAGGTTCCTCAGTACAGGTATTTGTTCATTAGGTAAGTACTATGACAAGTTCCAATGGACGGAAAAAACAATATTGTTTGGAGGGGATTTTAACCAGGTACTGCCTATTGCTCCAAGCAAAAAATGTTCAAATAATATAGCCTAGCATGCACGGTAGTAAAGGGACTTTGGTTTAGATTACTGGGTTTTGGAACCCTAACCAGTCACAAAATAGTAGGTAAGCAATCAGGCGTTGATCAAGCCCTTTCTTGATAGAATATGTAAAGTCAATCACCTTTAGGAGGAATACCACCACATAAACTTACACTAGGCTAGTAGTAGTTTTTTAATGTTGATCAGAAACAAATCTAGGATTAAGTTTGGTCAATGGGATGCCTTTACTTTATACTACTGTAATTTAATTTTGCTTTACCTTTACAAAAGGATGATAAACTTATAAATAATAACTGGGTTGGGGTGCTAATTTAGCGGGTTTGGCCAAGAACTAAGCTTATCCCAACACCCACCTCTTTATTTTCCTTTTCATATTTGACGAAGATAATTTCCAATATTTCAATCAGGGAAGCCTTTTTATCACCATTAACCACAAGAGAAAATCTACCTTAATAAACCAGTATTTATTAACAAACAATTATATGGAGGATATGGGTGCTAATTTAGCGGATTTAACCAAGAACTAAGGTTATCTCAAAACACATTTATTTGCCTTTTCATATTTGACGAAGACAATTTCCAATATTTCAATATCATCATTAACTAAAAGATCAAATCCACCTTAGTAAACCAATATTTATTCACAAACATGTTTGCTGCCTTTAGCTGGGTTAAACCATGTTGAACCTCTGGAGTCATTCAAATTATTGATTGAAAATAAGATCAACAAAAGCAAACAAAAACAAACAATAAACTGTTTTTCACACAAAAGATATGTTGTACTGGGATATCTATCCTGACACAAAGTTATTTGATTCTGAGTTTATATATTACAATAATTTGTTTTACATTTGAGCCTTTTAGGGATCTATGTCCCTACAAGCCACTAGTTTAATATAATTTCATATGTCCGAACCTTGCACATAAAGTTTGAAATATTAGAGATTAGTTGGTAGGGTTAGCAATTAGCATACCTTCTGAGGGTGAGATACTCATGGTGGCAGATACCTCACAACTGAACAGACCAAGCACTCGCAGGGCTTCTTACATCAACTACTGGTGTATACTTGTCCACAGCAATATCACACTACGTAGGCCTACTTGTAAAATATCTTTATTAGGTACTACTCTAGGGGTAATGTAGTAAAAAGTTCTAATTAATGTTCCTTTTCCAATGGGACATTAATCCATACACTGTCCATGATTTTAGAGAATTTAAATGATTACTCATTTAGTGCAAACAATTCGTTGCACTGACTACAAATCCTAGTTTAAATCAATAGCTAACATTCAAGGGGGTACCCATCCTCCCCAAAGCCAACTTCGCAGAATCCCTCCCCAAATTCATAGTTTAACCCATGCCGGGAGGTCTTTGGGACATCTTCACTGATAAAAAGGGGTGCCCTCAAAGTTTTGGATTAAAACCTAACACAATTTATATGGCAAATTAGGCTTTGAAAGAGCCAATTAATAGAAAAATACTAATTATTGGTGAATTTTATTAATAATTTATAAGGAAGAATAAGGCTAAGCTGGTCCGTGGTCAGGGTGTTCCTAATATATGTTATTTTAGAACTAAAAATAAATGTCAGTTTTAAGCTATTTGTTGGTAGATCATTTTGAACTTGGTGTTGTTTTATAGGAAATTTTTGATGCTAATTAAGTGTTCTTGCACTTTTACTTTCTCACATACCATATGGAGAATGTATGGTTTTTGTCAAAATTGTTGAGTTTGAGTTTGAGCCGTTTTGGGTCCCCAAAAAAGTGGTTTTCGAAGTGATGCCTCATGCCTGGCCGTGTGTCTGTCTGTGTGTGTGTGGATGTGCACAAAGCTACAGACCACACTTGTGGTCCGATTTCGATGAAATTTGGTAGGTAGGTACTAATCCATGGTATCTAAAAGAGTGTTTTTTTAAAGAATGTTTACGGTGACTTTCCCAAAAAAACCTATAAAATAACTTTAATAATCCAATTTTCCCAAAAACGGCCTGAATGATTTTGATAAACATGTAGTATGTCAATTGCAGTGTGCCCGTTCTATGGACGGGGATCTTGTAGTCAGTTGAAACCTTAATATATTCAGATCACAGATGGATTGCATATTAAGTGTGCAGTTTTCCAGATATGCTTGCAAACCTATTATAGGAATACTTACAACATTCAAAAATACCCCCGCCGCAGCAAACCTGCAGACTAAGCAAATTTCCGTTAGCCTGATTGGATTTACACTAAAATGTCTACCTACTTAAAAATCTACCTGTTACAAATGTAGAAAGGCAGGCCATATGATAAGGGATTGTCCTGAAAATAATCAAGCTAATATCAGTAATAGCTCAAAGATAGGGTCAATTTCCAAAATTGGTAAGTCAGATGGTAAAGACAAAAATAAAAATGTAGGTTGGATAACTGCCCTGAATGTAAAGGTAGAACCTGAAAGCTGGTACTTAGACTCGTGTTGTTCTGACAATCTTTCTAAAAGTAAAGAAAGTTTTCAAACGTTTAACTCGAATGTGGGAGTTAAAGAGGTCACTGTCGCTAATAATACCAAAATTTACTCTGCGGGTTCTGGGAAAGTTTATGTGAACCTTAAAAACTTTGGTGAGAGAGTGATATCGAATGTGACGTATGTACCAGATTTATTTACAAATTTGCTATCTGTTAGCAAAATAGCTAGTAAAGGGCAAGTTTTAGTTTTTGATGACAAAGGGTGTAATATTTACATAAAAGATGGGTTTTCAGTAAGAGGTGAAATTTGTGGAACTGGAACAAATGTAAATGGACTGTATCGGTTGGATACAGAGAGTAAATGCAACATTGATCCAAATGATGGAAATTTAGCTATGTCTACTCAAGTTGACCAGTCAGTTAGTGTGGACCTTCACAATTTATGGCACAGAAGGTTGGGTCACTTGAAACATGTTAGTATGGGTCTTTTGAAAAAAGGGATGGCTTTGGGTGTTGATTTTTCTAGTCAAAGGCCAGAACCATGCATTTCCTGTGTGGAGGGGAAACACTCCAGAGAATCTTTCCTAACCACTCCAAGTAAGAGAGCTGATACAAAACTAGAGTTAATCCATACTGATGTCCGTGGGCCTATGAATGTTCAGTCTCTTCAAGGTAATCGCTTCATGCTAATATTTATTGATGACTTCACTAGAATGACCTTTGGCTATTTCTTGAAATCAAAGGATGAAGTAGTTGATTGTTTTCTTAAGTTTAAGACTTAAGTTGAAAATCAGACCAACCAGACTATAAAAACTATTAGGTCAGATGAAGGCAGGAGTACATGAATGCGAGACTAGAAGGAGTGTGTAATAGATATGGAATAAGGCACCAGGTCATTACTCGATACAGTCCTGAGCAGAATGGGGTAGCAGAGCGTGCAAATAGAACTATTATTGAAAAGGCTAGAAGCATGCTAAGTGACTCAAATTTGAGCAAGGGTTACTGGTAGTATGCTGTGGAGGCAGTTATTTATCTTAAGAACCGAAGTCCCACAAAAGCTGTTTTTGGAGTCACACCACAGGAGAAATGGACTGGATCGAAAGTGGACCTCAGTCACCTTAGAGTTTTCGGGTGCATAGGCTATGTGCATGTGCCTAAGGAGAGAAGGACCAAATTGGACTATAAGAGTGTTCCTCACATTTTTGTAGGTTACAGTGAGGATGTCAAAGGTTACAAATTGGTCGATCCTAAGTCTCCCTGTAGATTGATTTATTCTAGAGATGTCAAGTTTTTTGAAAACTTATTTTATAATGGGCGTGAAGAAAATAATGGTGATGAAACTATACAACCAGTCGAGACCATAGTAAGCATCCAGACCGCCAAACTCGATGAACCTTGCAGGATTCTGAGGCAGAAGGGGAGAGCTTCATTCTCGATAATATCAACATTGAGCAAGATGATGACGATGTTGGAACTGGAGGATCCACTGAAGGGGATTCGGGAAATGATGAGGAAGGTGTTGAAATTAATGTTGGGAGTAGGTACCCTCTAAGAGTAAGAAAACCTAAAATGTTTCCTGATTTTGTTACCTACATGGTTTCCGGTGAGGATCTAGAGCCAAGTAGTTATCAAGAGGCAATAGAAGATCCGAATAAGAATTTGTGGAAGCATGCTATGGAGGAGTTTACCTCGTTGATTAAAAATAACACCTGGACACTTGTTGATCCACCTCAAGGTAAAAATGTTGTAAAATGTAAGTGGGTGTATAAAATAAAAAAAGACTGTAATGGAGTGATTGTGAAGCATAAGGCAAGACTGGTAGCAAAGGGTTTTACACAAAAATATGGTGTTGACTATGAGGATACTTTCTCGCCAGTGGTAAGATTTGAAAGTTTGAGAGTTTTGTTTGCATTAGCTGTTAGGTTTGACTTATCCATTGATCACCTAGATGTAACATGCGCTTTTTTAAATGGAGAGTTGAAAGAAGAAATATACATGTGTCAACCAGAGGGTTTTGTAAAAAATGGCTCAGAAACCAAAGTTTGCAGCCTAAACAAAGCCATATATGGTTTAAAGCAGGCGTCAAAAGTCTGGAATGAAAAATGTGAAATAGAGATGGGGTTTACACAACTAGAGTTAGAACCATGTATCTTTTCACTGTTTACAGAAGGCAAACTTGCTATTATAGCTTTGTATGTAGATGACTTTCTTCTGTTCAGCAATGATGATGACTTAAAATCAAATGTAAAACTTCAGTTAAAAGGATATTTTGAAATCAAGGATCTTGGTGATGCTAAAAATGTACTAGGCATGAGAATAACTAAAGAAAATGATATCCTGAAAATTGATCAAACCGCTTACATTGAGAAGATTTTGACACAATTTGACATGATTGATTGTAATCCTGCCAACACACCTATGGAAGAAGGGCTAGACCCAAAAAGCCAGAGGTAAGCAGTAACAACTTGCAGTATCAGGAACTGATAGGTAGTCTTATGTATTTGTCAGTGTGTACAAGACCTGATATTACTTTTAGTGTGACAAAATTAAGTCAGTATAACACCTGTCATTCTGAAGAAGCACTTTAAGTATGCAACAAAAACACTGTTTAAACAGTTATTTGTCAGAGACATAATCAAGAGAAAACTAGTTGTGCTGAATTACGTTTCAACTTCCAGGATGGTAGCGGACATTTTGACAAAATCACTTGGCAAAATCAAGCATAATGGTTTCATGACCGACCTTGGTCTTACCCCATTGAAGGATCAAGATTAAGGAGGGGTGTTGGAATTTATATATAATCTTGTTCCTCATTGCCTCTTAGTACTAAGTTAGAAGCAGCTGTCATGTGTTAATTATATGCCATGTGTTTGCTATGTTTATTAATTTTGTTGTAAATAAACATCACTTCCACTATGGACTTTAGAAACCATACTGTGTAGTCATTTTACTCCTAATTATTATAAAGGAAAATCCATTATAAACAAGTACAAGTAAAGGCATAACCAATGAAAATGTAATGAAAGTATAAAGAAAAGATTGTGTAAATAAAACATTTAGTGTAACTGTAAATGTTAAGCAGGGCTGTTTCATGGCCAGCCACTTTTGGTTCAATATTTATGCTATCCACCCTCTTTATCCTTATTTGTTATACCAAAGATTACATATGCTACGCAAAATATATATTGCAGCCAAGCCTTTTTTGTGATATCAATTTCCATGTGAAGCCTAGCGAATGTCTTCATAACCTAAGACTTCATTGCCGACATGACCAGCTGTTATTTACGTATTTTTTGTTGTTGTTTATTGTTATGGTTAACCTTTTTTGTTTGCTTATGTAATAACTGGAGGTTTATTAGAAGATGGATTAGCAAGAGTGAAGAAGTGTTAGTATTATGTGTAGTGAATTACAATTGTATTATGATGTGGGTATTTTCATGAACAATACCAGATATTAAGACGAGTGTATGTGATAAATGGCAAACACGGCAATCATAAAACGAAAAGGGCTTCCCGACACTGCTTTACATTCACGTTTAGTGTGTGAACTGCATTTTGAACCTAACTGCTTTATAAATAATATGAGAAGTAAAAAGGAAGCTGTACCAACATGACTAGTTATGTACTAACAAACTATGGATGTAGGCCTACACCAGTTGTCACTCAGCAGTCTGCACTCATTACTGCCTCTACAGACGATCACCACCGTCTCGCGGCAGACCCTTCGTCACATCGCGATAAATTCACCAGTATTTCTACTGTCAACGTCTCATTATCTTTAGTGACTGCCTAAAAACAGTTACAATAGAGTTCAGTTACCTAACCTAAATATCGTTTTTACGTGGTAAAGATAACCTCTTTAATTTATGTGTAACTAAGGTTCCTCTGTTGATAAACTACCTATGTGTTCTTAAATTTATTTTATATAGTCGTCAGTTGAAAGATTTGTTATATAAAACAATCCAAATCTAAAATCTATATTTTATATCTTATGCTCTACATTTTCTTCAAAGCTCTGTTGCAAAACTTACAAAACACCAATAATGTGACGAGATAATACGTAGTTGATTCCGGTATGTTTTTTCTTGATGGTATTATTCATGTTAATCTTGATTTGTTGGCTACTCATCATATAAATAAATTTATACACAATTTACAAAAAAATGTGTAGGTAAATTTTGAGTTTACTTCTAAACCCATAGTCAGCCTCTGTTAACAACATAAGTAATCATAGTTTATTTACTTATGTTGTTAACAGAGGCTGACGATGGGTTTAGAAGTAAACTCGAAATATATACCTACACATTTTTATTGTAAATTGTGTATAAATTTATTTATATGATGAGTAGCCAACAAATCAAGATTAACATAATACGTAGTTTGAAAACAAATGCCGATCTGTGTAGATAAATGCTCTTCCTACAAACTATGTGTATATTGCTATGTTTAAAAAGGTCAAATAGCCAGTGAATGGTTAGGTAGTAGTTTCATTGTAGTTGTTAGCCTCCGGATTGCCAAATAATATTATAAAAGGTTTAAATACCTGCTATTAAGCAATCCAATTTTGTTGTTGACACAACTAGTTTCGGTGTCACACAGACACCGAAACTAGTTGTGTCAACAACAAAATTGGATTGCTTAATAGCAGGTATTTAAACCTTTTATAATAGGTAGTAGTTGACTAACCATACATTCCTCATCGTGAGTTAGTAGCAAGATATTGCGTGAGTCTAGAAATCCGGAAGCAAACTTTGTGGATAAAATTCCGAAAACAGAAAAGTCGACGAACTCACCAATAGTCACTAATTATTAAAACTTGTAAGATTTATAAATTTCTAAATTGTTAAGAGTTCTTTAAATGTACGTTAAAATTCAATGCAGAAAAACTAGTATAACATTGTAAGCTTATTATATCACTGTGACTGCAATTTTGAAGATTTTTATTAATTCATATTTATATCAGTAAACCTTTACTATCCTTAAGCTCTTTGTTACGTGGTCACTTTAATTTTAAATTAAATAACTGCCATTTTTGTAAAAGGATAAGGTTATGGTACATTAATTAATGGCAGCTGTGCGCTTTCAAACTAGAGATACGATGACGACGAGTCGGCGAGCGCGTTGCGTACAGGCAAGTTAATCCCGAGAACTCACCCGAACTTGAATGGTAATGCAGATCGAGACTTGACACAGCGCCTCTGTTGAGGGACCACCCAACTACGTGAAGGTGGCCCCATCCAAAAACGACTTGGCACAAAATTGCCGTAAGGTGCAATATCTATTTTGCGTAGCATATGTAATCTTTGGTTAAACTAACAAGATACATGTTGCCTACATTTCTTCATATACAATAGACCAAACATTCACAGAAAAATATTTACAAAAGTAATGCTAAAACCTCCAAAGTCTGCATCCCCCATTAAAAAAGGATCTAAATATTTTTATGTCGCAATGTTTGTTATAAAAAAATTTTGAAAATAGTTTTAAATCCCAACCAATTTTCAAGGAGAAGTAGTAAACAGTGAATTTAAGTTTTTTTATGAAAATTGTATTGCTTATCGTATAATATTGATTTTTAAAAATAACTAAATGGATTTATTTATACTAGACAGTTTAATCTTATTTCGTGCGAAATTACACCTAGTAGTTAACAAATTCTGAACGAGGGACAGAGAAATAAAATACTGTTTTCTCGTACTTCATTTTATTAATAAAGACTTAAAAAGAAATTATACAGAAAAAATAATTATTGAAGCCTTCAAGACCACTGCAAATTCTGTCTTACACATTATATATACAACATAAGAGCAGTGTAAAAGGTACAAGTATGCACCATACATTTCAGTACACTGAAACCAAAAATATAATTACGTATTTTAGTTTCATTGCAATTGTGCATCAGACTAAGTGCTCAGGTTTGAACAAGAGAAAACAAATTACAAAATATTGGTATTTATGACTCAACAAGATAAAACATAAAACAATGGGATGGAGGAATATTAAGACTTTTCTTTGCTTTGATTTTCACAACTCATTACATTAAACATATTATTGCCACGGCTAACAATAGACTGTAAATCTTGAGTGGATTTTAATTTTTTTACAATTAATTTTAATTGACATAACATTACAGTCTATACAATGTTGCAACAAAAGGGTTTCCAAATCTATATTCACATTAATTAAGCTTGAAACACTCGATTTGTTACAAAGAAAAAAATTTACATTTATTAACAAAACTCGAAGTGATCTCATTCCCACTTGGGGAGGATGGAAAGTTTCGGCGCTCTATACAGTAGAACCGAAAATTTCAAACATGATGAAAATATGATACTGTCCTTAAACAGTTAGATGAGATCTGGATATTCTATAAGTCATCATATCCATTACAATCCTACTTAAAATTATTATATAAATAATGAAAAATTACCAGCTATATGTACAAGTAGTATATAACTATTAGACACGACACACTTGCTGTCGTAGATCCATCAAAGACCACAGTAAAACTTACAGAAGCCAGTTGTATTCTGACAAATACCAAGCCTTCAATCAACAAATCAACAGGAAACCGATTCACACTTCAGTATTCCAAACAGTAGATGTACATCTTAAATAAAAATACCACTAAAACAGCAAACCTGCAGACTAAGCAATTTCCATTTACCTGCTTGGATGTTCAACAAAATATTCCCTAAAAATGTATGATTTATTTGCTAATTAACAAACATTAATTTTAATAAGTTAATAGGTTTGCTGATTCAGGGAAGGTAATAAATTGTGTTTTTTATTGAAATGTTTATAGCTTAGCATGAAACAAACAAATTTATTAAATTTTCTCAAAATATATCCCTTACCAAGTAAATTACAACAGTTTATTTATTCTCTATAATAAGAATAAAATTGGAATTTCAAATTTACAGTTTTATAAATTTTTCTCTCTAACCATATTGAACTCTCCATATTGAACCATAACCATATTGAAGCACGACCGGTGTACAATAATGCTTCAATATACAGAATTATTTATTTATTAAATGGTTGATAGGTGCTCAATTAAAACATTAACAAAGTTTTTCCACATTTTATATAATGAATAAAAATATAAAACGATGCTCCCATGGCAGCAACCTGCAGCCTCAGCATATTTCCATGCATGTTTGGATTTTTACTAAAATATTCCTTTAAACATGTGAGTTTTATTCTTTACTTAAAATAATATTAGGTTAAACGAGTGCTCAAGATTGCTGCTACAGGATAGGTGATACAATCTTTTTAGTAAAACGTTATGGTTTAGAATGAAATTTGATTTGAAAAAGCAGCAAAGCTGCAGACTAACGGATTTCCATTTGTTTGATTGGATTTTCACTAAAATATCTCCTTAAAAAATGTCAGATTTATTCCCTATTTAAATCAAATTAGTTTAGTTTGTTTTTTATCACTAAATGATTAATGAAAAAAGAGCTTTGAAAAATGAAAAATCCTATAATATTTGGTTTCTATTACCTGATCTTGGTGATTTGGAGCTTATGAGTGCTCATCCAGCCAATAGTACACTTTAATGCAAAATTTCACTGAATACAGTTTATATAATTGTATGAGTTGACAATTGTGCATTCACAGACGTGTATAAATTTATTATTTTTGGCCTCTGCAGAATTAAAAATAAATTGGTTCTAGATCTGAGTTTTATATTATGCGACCTACAGTGATAGCTTCTTCTCTCGCTTGAAATGTTTGAAGTATCTGATAATGTTTTTACAAGTGGACAAGAGATGTCCAAGAACACACTGACAATACAGTAGTAGCAAAGGTTGACAAATCAAATACTGGGAAATAAAAATATAACACATAGTGTGCAAGTTTAATGGTATTTGAGTAAATCTGATATGCCTTTAGGGGTCTCAAAGACAATATTCTAATCAAGTAGATTGTCAAGACTTTGATATCAGTAAATTAGATATTTTGTAGGTAGTCTTGATAGTTGTCAGAGTACAATTGAGCTGGTTGTGTTCAGTATCACTCCAAGTGCACGACCATGTCCTCAAACCCTTTGGCAGACAGCTTCCTCCACGGCTTACGAGCCGCCCTCCTCAACTCCACCGCTGTTAACTGACGCCGAACTTTTCTGCAATTTGTTAAGTCTTGTAAACAACATGTTAATGAAATATAATATCTAACACTAACAGGAAAATATTGTCATTCGAACTGATGTTTAAGATAGAACTAGAGGTCGACCAGTGGTCGAAAACTCTACCAAATATATATAATGTACAGACTTCTCTATTTTCACCCCACACACTGTAAATAAAACATGTGATTGGAATTTCTTCCATTTTTTCCCATGTTTTGATTTTCTGTTTATATTTTGTTGTTATTTTGTCACCAGCATAGCAACCCATAAGGCCCATGTTAATTTTTTTTATTTTTTATTCATTTGTTGTGCTTATTTTTTAACCTATTTTAATTCATAAAGGGATTCTGCACATCTACAAGAAAATATCTTTCTAACATTACGCGTAGATTTTCTCTGCGATGTACGCGAGCTGAGAAAAAAGGTTTTAAAGAAACTGCTTGCCTATTAAAATATAGATTGGGACAAGCCAATCTTTTCCCACAAAGATATCTAGGAATCCATCAACTTATTTAAGCAAATGGAGTTGAGTAATCTTATATTTTAATGTACACTACAGTAACATCACAACTATACTCAACAGGCTTTTTTAAGGTTAACTTTTGATAACCGTCTATTTATATAAAAATGATTCAGAGCTCTTACTTAGTACCGTCAGTGGAGCGAAAATATACATCATCTGGGGCATCCATCCAAGAAATAACTTGTTTCCGACCAATTCTAGCGACACTAGAACCAACTCGTGTCTTGCCATTGAGGTGATTGACAACTGTACGAGGTCCCAGAGGCCCCTCCCTTGGTCTCTTGATTGGGGGTCCTACATTGCTGAACATCACACCTGCAAACAAGCGTTTAATTTGATATAAGTTACTTGGGCTAAGTACCATAAAACTTTCCTATCATTCATTTGTAAAGAAACTAATATTTTCAACTAAACTGTTTTTTAAATTATTTGTAGCAAAACTGTTAAATATGGTTGTCATAAAAAATATTCATATCCCACGCTCATATTCGTCAACTAAACTCGTCAACCTATTCTGGGGTCACTGTATTATCTTCAACATGTCTTGTGGTTAAAAAATCCCACAATTACACAATTGTCAATATGTCTAATGCTCGAGGCGTGGTCGCCAACCAACTCATGCCAGGGTCACAGCGCCAGCATGAACATCGTTTTTATAATTTTCCGTGTTATCCAACATTTTGCTCAAATGACCTTAGCGCGGCCGGTTTAGGTTAGATAATCAAGACTCTACTGTACTACTGTGTTGGAAAAATTAGAATGGTTTGTCATAAAACAGGTTGTCACTTAAAAAACTTGTACATAGTAAATTTCCAATTAGATAAAATAAAATTAAAGTTTTGCTCCCAAATATATGATGTGCAATTGATATTTATTTCCTTCGATGCAGTGTGGAGTGGATGTTTTAGTCAGCTACCAGAGATAATATAATTTTAATTTTTGAACATTCTTAAGTTTAAATGTGTAAGTTATGGTATGGAAATGTATTTCAACATTGAACAATTGTCCCACCTAATAAATCTAAATCTGAGATGCAAAAAATACTTTAAAAATTCATCTTCCCTCATAATATGCATACTGTGCAATAGCGTTAAGATTAGAGGTCTCATTCCCAGGATCAAGAATCCCAATCCAATCACTTTTAGATACCTAGATATCCAGCGATTAATATCTCTTAATACTGTTAATGTCTCTTGAGACGTTTCGATTGTATTTTTGCTTAGAGAGAGGTTTTTACAGAGAGGTTTTATCAAGATGTTCGTGACAAATGTTTCGTTTCAGCACGGCTTCTCTTCTATAGTATCTCGCATTTGTCTAGAGAACCGAGAGACAAGAAGTCCTTACCGAGAGTCTTTTTAACAAGATGTTCATGGCAATTGTTTTGTTAAGTGTGGCATCGTCATTTATTATTATCTAATTTCTATTGTATCTGCCGGGGATTGACCCCCAATAAGAGGTATATCTTACTTCAAACCATGGAAGGTTTATGGATATATTACTTACTTTATCCACGGAATAGTGACTTAATACCATTTAATAAAAACTATTGACAAGACGATATATTTTACAAACAAAATGTTTATATTTAAATCGAAATGTTTATTACGAGACAGAAGGTTCTCATAAATGTTATGTTAACAGTATTATTTACCATTACCCATTACTTTAAAATAATTTTTTATTTCTGTTGCTATGACGGAGTGTTTATATGTCAGCAGTATATATGTTGTGCATAATAGTCTACTATTCTATAAGAATCTAGAAAAAGAACTAACATCCTCAAAACAACTCTCATGAAATGTAGACAGATGCAAATAGACGTTTAGGCTTAACGAATGCAGTAATCGAGAGAAACATCTCGATTGTACAAACATCTTGCAATCGCGCATCACTAATATAAGTTAATGAAATATGTGATGTAATTTTACACACTGTAACATACAGCATTTCAATGGACACTAGTAGCCACCCCCAAAATTGTCCTTGAGTTCAGCACACAACATCCAGCCAGGCGCTTGGGTTCGTCAAACCAAGTATGGGTTGACTCCATCAGCCGTTGTAGCCTGGGGTTCACCGTCACCCATGGTAGGTTATGTTGTGTTTGTTTCAAACGACTATAAGTTTTAATTTAAAGTTGTAGGTTTATGTTACTCACACCGCATTTCCTCTTATCTTTGGGACGGATTATTGGATTATTTGGTTTCCACGACCTGCGGGTTTACCAAGTGTAGAAAGTGCCGTCAAAGTCCTAAGCCAGGTTAAGCCCTAGCTTGCGAAACACATTGCTGTTGAGTTAATAAGCTATAAAACTCTGTATAAGGTTTATATCATGATGTTACGACTATGGTTAGCTTTCTAACCTTTAACCTTAGTTAGGGCTTGTAGGCTATGCCTAGGGTTACGCTGTACAAATAAAAGGGCTAGTTTGACCCCCCTCCAAATAGGCCTGTTACAAATATGACAAAACATTCATCTGTCGCTCATTTCCCTTGAGCTTTTATCGAAAAGTCACTTTACGAACTAACCCAACTTGATTAAAAGCCAAAAATAATACAAAGAACACAAAGATTAATAACAATCGAAAAGGTAGAATAGACTGGAACTGTATAAATCATTTAGTTAGAAGCTGAAACCCCAATTTTGAAAACCCTTAACATTGTCTTACCTGGCCTTGGGCTCCGGCTCCCCTAGCAGAAGGACCCTGTCCCTGGTGCACCACACTCACTACTACACACAAAACTGTCCCCCTGATCAAGTGCACTGGCCTACTTAAAAGCAACAGCCTTCTGTAGGTCAGCACAACAAGTTATTGTTTAACAAAACCACCGGCCTACTCACATTGCCAAACACTTCCTCCTCCCATTACAAAAAACTAAAAAAAGAGTGTACAAAATAACTAAAGCTTATAGGAACTTGTTTAATGTAAAACTGTAACATGTATACTACAACTATCAGTATCAAAAGTCTACAAGAAATAAAAGAATTGTAGCAAGTACGTTGTTACTTCTGATCACAGTGATCATCATAATCATAATCATTGTTTGTTGCGGTCACGGAAACATTAGCCTATTATCATCATCCGAAAATCGCGGCAAAATCTGAGGCATCTCCCGCGGAATGTAGAAATTATCATAATCTCCCATGGTTACGGAACCATCATCATAGTTTTCCACGATCGCGGTAACACCCTGATCGGCTACCGTGGTTTTCAAGCATAAAAAAAATTAAAATCCCGGAATCACTCCTAAAATCCTGGCTTTGTTAATTGAAAAAAAGTTTATAAATTATATTTACTTTCTAAAAAAATCATAAAATGTAGGGTCTTCCATAAGAAAAAACAAAGTTAGCGGCCATATTCAAAAAATGGTGGCTAAAATTATTTTTTCAACTTGACCAAAATTGTTTAAAGGTTAAAGTGCTCGCCTAACAATCAAAAGGTCACTGAGTTTAATTCTAAGAAAGGTCAGAAGCTTTTTGATAGTTTGAAACTGGACCTAGCTGTCTCTGATCATTGGGCTTTCAATAAATGATCATGACTGATGAATCATCAAATCGTAGTCAGTAGTAAAGCTACACCGATCATCTCACACATTTTACACTCATCCTTCACTAATATTTGGGTTAAAACAAACACCTAGGTGGTGTACCCATCTCAAATAATTGATAATTGATTGATTGATTCCATAAATTCTAGAATAACTTATCAACATTTATACACCATAAATAAGAAAAGACAGTTGATGAAAGTTTCTGTGTGGTAATATTTTTTTACATAGAAAGACAGCAAATTGCTAAGTGTAACATTTGTAAGGCCAATTAAAAACATTAGAGGACTCAACAGAAAGACTGATTTAAAATGGCTATCATAAAACAATTAATCCAGAAATTGGTTTAGACAAAACCCAAAATCCTGAAATTGATTAAAGCCCCGGGATTGAGACCCCTACTCAAGACAGTATCTTCAAACTGAAACTTAATGCACACTTTTTCTTGGTGTAAAAAAATATTCTGTGGACTCACTTACCATCATCCCAATCCATATCTGCATGAAAAAAATTATAACATTAATAAACCGAAGAAAACTGATACATCTTGCAGAACAACAGAAATCAATTATAATGAGAAGAAAATTTGCTTACTCTATATTTGTATACAAGCCAAATAGCACTTTTAATGACGATGCAACCTAAGAGTAAAGTACTTTTTGTAGCTTTCATCAAAAGTATTTCATGATTGTTTTCCGGTTCTTGGTTATAATAGTGTTCTTTAGAAAAAAAGACTCGTGCCAATACATTTGGTCATGACAGTGAGAGTTAGTACATCAAGGAGATTTTTTGCAGTAGTGAGTTTACCCATATTTTTATACATCTTTACCACTGAATCCCACAATAAACATAACTTAACTACATCATGAGAGGGAATAACCGTGGAGTGTGGAGTGAGTGAGAGAGTGGGGAACAGCTCGACGCTCGCTTAGGGGTTAATCCCGGTCAATTTTTGATACCTATACAGGGATTAACGGAATTGCAAAACCTATGTTTATATTTATTTTTTGTGAATTTGAGGAGTTTAATTTATGGAAAATAAATTTTAAAAAACACCCAATAACACTTGAAACACATATAGGCCTACTGTTTATTTTTGGGGCAATAAATAAATAAATAAACATATATATATATGAAACATGGTATAAACTGTGATCTATTTTGATTGGACAATTTAACTATCATCAAACTCAATAGGCGAACATAGTGTAAATATACATATTATGTTTAATGTTTTTAGACAAATTGTATTTACTTTCTGTAAATGTTATCACAGACTAACGAACACAAACTAGTGTAAATGTTGCTCGAAATCGGGCAAGGAGTTATTTAAAAACAAATAACTTATTTAAGAACAAATATAAGTCATGAATTCCAATGATTTTAAAAGAGTCAACTCAAAGATTACGTAACAAATGATAATACTCGCAATGTACTTAACATTGTACTTAACAATAAGAATAAGAATAAGAAGGATAAGAATAAGAATCTTTATTACCCTTTAAACATTTTACAGTGCAATAGGGTTCGTCATTTGCTACATAATAATATATATATACATATATTTCACATGAAATAGTTTATCATCACTTCAATGCACTTACTTAGGGCCAACAATATAATCAACATTTCTTGTAAATATTTTATCATTTTTCCCTGGTTTTTAGAGTATTGTAGAAATGTTTCCCACATATAGCCGCAATAGGTTGTCCATGTTGGTCTTTGTAATTGATAATGTAGTCTGCATGGTTTCACCCATTATCGCCAGTTTACAAATTTCAGTCTTTATTTTAATAGCACCAAATAACAATTAACTTCATGATGGAATGGCCTCTAGATCGTCTGAATAAACTAATATAGGTTTAAATTACCTGTTTTCTGTCAAAACGATCAGTTTAGTAGTATGATGACTACAGCTGTTTCATGCTTTCCAAAAATAGCACATCTTCAGGTCCAGAATGTCTTGCTAATCCCTCATGTAGAGTTCGTCAAAAATATAAACAAATAAATAAACGGGACACACATACAGATATGACACACACGAAAATACATTTAATAAACTGGTCGACCAGACGCTGATTCACGAGACACGGCGCCGGTGGAAGGTAAGTCGCGACTGTCACGTGTCGGCAGCGTTGACCCCTACCCCTGTGTTATCCTTATCTCGCTCTTTTCTTGTCTGCTTACTGGTGATATGGATGGCGGTGTTATAAATAATGTTGGATTCGAATGACAATTTCTCGTTCAGGGTGTTTTGTGGTTGACTTTTTGATGCTTTATAAATTTCGAAGTCAACCACAAAACATCCTGAACGAGAAATTGTCATTCGAATCCAACATTATTTATAACACCGCCATCCATATCACCAGTAAGCAGACAAGAAAAGAGCGAGATAAGGATAACACAGGGGTAGGGGTCAACGCTGCCGACACGTGACAGTCGCGACTTACCTTCCACCGGCGCCGTGTCTCGTGAATCAGCGTCTGGTCGACCAGTTTATTAAATGTATTTTCGTGTGTGTCATATCTGTATGTGTGTCCCGATTATTTATTTGTTTATATTTTTGACGAACTCTACATGAGGGATTAGCAAGACATTCTGGACCTGAAGATGTGCTATTTTTGGAAAGCATGAAACAGCTGTAGTCATCATACTACTAAACTGATCGTTTTGACAGAAAACAGGTAATTTAAACCTATATTAATTATTAACTACCTGATTTTCTGCAACTCTCTGTCACAATTTTACAATTAACATATGTTCTTCTTCTCACTTTTAATTTATGACAACAGCTGGAGTTTCATAGCAATATTTGTTTCCCATGTTAATTTTATGGAGAAATACGAAACTTTTAAGGGCCCCAGGGCCTCACTCTCTAATTATTTCCGTAAAAAGAAAGTTTCCTGCACAACTTCACGTTACGCTCTTTCCAATGACACCAAAAACATGTCAATCGGTTCAGTAGTTTCGGAGGAGTAATTGTCACAAAAAAACCTGCTTGCGTATTAAATAAGTAATAGATAAACTTCTCATCCCATTGTAAATTTTGAAACACGTTTTTCGTGTCTAGTTCATGTACGGTGACACTGGGGGCTAGTGTCGACGAAATATTGTTTCTATTATTTTAGGGTTGATTTCTTGATTTGTGCTTTACTGTTTGGTTATGTGACTAGGGGACAAGTTATTGTTTATGATTAGATCGTATTATTTGGTTAAACGAGGTTTTAAATTACCGTAATAACGGGAAACAAATTGTAAACAAAACACAACCTCTTCATAAACCGTACAGAACTAACAATAAAATTGTCTTCAGCTGTTCCATAAGGATGAGAAAGCTACTAAGGGAGTATGTTTTATCTATGATGTTATTACATTAAGTGTGCCTATAGGTTATTATAAGTTTTACTTTTGCCATTTAACGTAAAAAACACAACTGATGTGGCAAAAATAACATGGTGATAGGTAATTAAAGTATTCTCTTAATAACATTTACCTATGACCATTTTTAAAGTAGCCATTTCAGTACAGTTCTTAGGATTGACGAGTATCTCATAACAGCATTGTTTACTTTCATAACAGCATAGTTTTACTCATAACAACACTGGTAACGGACCAATGAGGTTCAAGGATCTCAGAGGAAAAGTAAAATTGTAATGATTCAGAATTAAACTAATCAGCTGTTAAATATTAACTACAAACGCACCATTATTATTTCATTATTAAGATTGCTTATTTATGGTCTATAACTTTATCTTTGTATTAAGTTTTAAGTGTGGTGATTAAATTTTTTACAATCCTATATTAAGTTTTTTGTACATACGTACCTACATAAGCAGATGGTTTATTGTTTGCACAGTAGGGCCTACCTTAAACTGTTTTATTGCTGTCAGTCAACATAACATTTTAACGCTGCAGCTCATGATTCTTCCCATATTAACTTTGTATCTTTATATTTTGGTTAATTTAGTTTCCATATTAGCGTGACATGTACTACATGCGAGTGCGGTAGCTCGAAATTTGTTTAATGTGTTTATTTAATTAAAGAGTGACATATCAACATTAAACACTTTCTTATTTATACACTGTAAATACATTAGACGACTCAACAACACGCTTATTTAAAATGGCTAAAAAGTTAAAGTCATACAATAATATAATCCCGGGATCAGCCAAGATGAAACCTGGGATTGAGACCCATACGCTCGCTGCTAGGACTACTCATTAGCGGAAGCCACCATCTTGGTGACGGCATTGCTCTCTGAGTGGCGACAGCTTTAGTTTACAACGGCCCTTCTCTTTTTATTTGCTGTACTCGACTCGACTCTTTACTCAAATACTCAACTCGAATTGAAAAATCATTACTCGCACCCTGTTGTATCTCTATGTTCCAACTGCTATGCAATCATCTGTTTGTTTAAAAATGTGTTTAAATTAATGTAAATAAACAGTGATAAAATAAGACTCATTTTTAACTTACATTTATTTAACTATAGTTATAAATATTCAAAACTTATAATACATAACAACCCCCCCCCCCTTCTACTTATCATGTCCTTTGTCTCCTTGCTCAAGCAATAAGCCCTTTCCAATGAAACCTTAAATGTAGACGAGCTGTTGGCCCGTCATACATACGGGAATAGAGTAGTCCATTAAAACTGTATATAGCGTGTATACAGTAGACTCCCTCTCGTTCGGCCTCGGTTGGTTCGGCCTCCGGATGGTTCGGCCGGCCGCCTGGATAGTTTTTTTAAATTGTGTATCTATAAAACGGAAGCAGATAAGAATCTGACTTCCGTTTTAGCTCTAGTTCACTGCACACGTGTTCACTGTTCAGTACAGTACCGGACGTTCGTGTGTGTACATTAGTTGTTGTGACTTTGTTTAGTGAATTGATTTAATTGTGTTTTGTTAACTGAACTTTAACTTATAAGTGACTGTACGTACTTTACATTATTATGAGTGCTAAACGAAAACGTACATTTGTGACAATGCAACAGCGGTTGCAAGCTCTAGAGAGAATAGACAAAGGTGAATCGGTCCAAAGTATTTGTACAGATTTGGGGGTTGGTAAAAGCACCGTGAATGACTGGCGTCGAAACCGAAAATCGATCGAGGATTTTCGTACGCAGATTGAATCGGAAAAAGCTCTTTCATCACGTTGCACTTTAAAAAAACATAAAAATGAATTGGTGAACGATGCTCTTTGGGTGTGGTTTATGCAGGAACGAAGAAGGGGAACGCCGATCAGTGGCCCTATCTTAAAGGAGAAGGCGGTTATCTTACATGGGAAACTTGGTGAGGAGGGGGAATTTGTCGCAAGTGAGGGATGGCTTTCCCGTTGGAAAAAAAGACACGGGGTACATTTTCTTGGGGTGTGTGGCGAAAAGCTGTCGGCAGACCCTGCTGGTGCAGCTGAGTTTACAAAGAAATTTGAGCAAATTATTGCTGAGAATAACCTAAGCCCGGAACAGGTTTATAATATCGATGAAACAGGGCT